CATGGTGTTTAGAAAACTGGGGAGGAATCAGCTTAACCTCAGCAAGTATCATCTCGAAGAGGGATCACTCAGTAACGTCTACTAATAGAGGGGTTTTCGTATGAGTGGGAAATGTACGGTACTAACTTAGAGCACGCACACGGTACAAAGTGCCGTAACGTTGAAATAGCTTCCCATCGTTTACAGTGATTCCTCCAATCACGACGCCGTCACGGTTACGGTAAGACCGGTACGGTTTAATTGCCCAATTTTACTATGACGTCACTACTTGTTTATGTGGGGGATAGGATCGCCAAATCCAATAGAAAATTCAACAAAATTGGCTCCTAGCGAAACAGTTTTAATCTAAAACGGTCTGGTTTTCAGATATAATATGTGTTAATATGTACTAAAAAATATTCTGAGCGTTTGCTGGCTATTCTTCTTCTCTTCGTAGATTGATAGGGGTTTTAGAACAATTTTCGGTGAATTTGCGTTGATTTGACCCCCTCCGACGACCATGATCCTTTGCGTTTAAACAATAGATTGTTTTGATGTGACGTCATAGTGAAATAGGGCAATTACAGCTAACCCTAACCCTAAGGGAAAATCATKCAGAGGCTAAAGATAATGACCGGTCTCCAATGAAAGTTTAATATGTCAAACGCGTATAGCCCCACTCTTTTATGCCCTTCTCGGTGGTTGAATCATTCAAGCGGCTATAGCAAACTAGTAATATTTCAGAAATTATGCACAATATATTTTTATATCAAATTAATTTATACMTTGATTTTATATACTTACCCTGAAATCTAATTTTCAATCAACAAAAAAAATTTTATCTTTCTAATATATTTTTATGGAACAATTTAATAAAAACATTAATTTAAAAGTAATCCTTTCCCCTATACACCCATTCACCTTGGGCGTAATGATTTCCCATTTCAGGCTACGTGTCATTTTCTTGAGAATAAGATTCTTTGTTTGAAAGGCATTCCATATCCATGTGTCTTCTCATGCGCAACCGTTAAAGAAAGATATGATACTCTAGCGAATGACACGTGATCTGAGAATTAGATTCTTTGTTTGAGTTGTATCAATATCCATGTGTCTTCTCATGTGCAATCGCTAAAGAAAGAAATGATACTCTGGGGAATGACGCGTGGTCTGTAATGGGAAAACATACGCAAGGTAAAGAGATTCGAGTCATACTAAAATAAAATCCCGCATTGTTGCACTGACAGCTCGAAAGAACAATGTTGTCTTCAAGGGTGTTTTGAAATCGTTGTTTTAATGTTAAGTTTCTGCAAAGACGTTGACGCACGGTTTAGAGCGCATGCAGTAAAACTATGAAACAAAAACAAAGTTAATACTGACAAATAGTAGCTATGTAGTGACTAATAGTTGGTATTACTCAACCAGAATATTCATCATACAAAGACAAATTTACAAGAGTGTCTTTCGTGTCATGAAGTTCTGGTTGAGTGATAGCAACTATTATAGTCACTAAATAGTACTATTTTGTCACTATCAACTTTGTTTTTATTTCATGGTTTTACTGCTTGACATGCGCTCTACCTCGGTGTAACGACCTGGATTGTTTCGTTCTATTGGTGTGCTTTATTTAGTTTCAATACGAGCTTTTTTGGGGTGAGCAACTTTGTGATGCCATTCTTGGTTTGGCCCTTACTCAAGAGAAGATTGCCCATCAGCGACTTCGTTTTCTGATTTCCACTGCGTCATAAGCAGACTCCGATTAGAATTCTGATTTCGACGCAAGTCCAAACCAATAAAAATAAACAATTGAAACGTGGAAAATCCGGTGTGCCGAAATCAACTATTTCCCAGAAGTAAAAGTTTTTAAAACGTTTGTGGAAACAGTTCTGGGATGATACAAAAAATAAACAATACCCAATAATTCCTACTTCCGAGCTTCCTTCAATCCACTACCCTGCGTCAAAAAATCTGCTTCGGTAAATCATCCAATAAGAGTCAGTCTAATCATTTATTATCTTATTTTATTGTTAAAAATATCAACAACAAAGTTATAAGTGTATAAAAAAGATTCCAGTGATCATGAGAGGCAAACATTATAAAGGGTATCACTGTCGCGATATCAATGTTGTCCTGTACCATAATTAGCGCCACCGGCTTTCTGCACAACCTTCTTCACGTGTTCGAGTTCCAACTCGTCTTTTTCGCCGGTTAAAATCTCTACAGCGAAGTTCTACAACAACAACAAAAAGAATATTGAGCACTAAATAAGATTTTCGAAGGGATACCTGGGAAACAACTTTGTTCTTGTAAACATTTTTTTGCCTCTTTGATTTTAACAAAACTTGGGAAAACCTCTGGCCGCGCTGATCAAAGTCAGGGAATAACCGCACAGATCGAATTCATGTGGAATTTCAATTTCAATAGATGATTGTTTAAAGTGCTTATAAGCCTTTACTCAATACTTTCAGAAYTGATTCTTTAAATAGTGCCAATAGTTGATTGTGAAAATAATTCGTCATTTGAAAGTCGGGTCTTTGAGATACGAAGGTTTATATTTCCAATATCTTAATGACTATGACGTAACATAGGGGATTTGAGTTATTTTGTGGCAACTTTTAATATTGAACGCTGGACATTTTTTRAAAACAAATTTGTAAGAACCTTTACGTGAGTCACGAGTAAAAGGATGATGCTTTTAAAATACTGTATTCCAGAACGAGTGCAGTGATGTATATTAAATGCCATATTTCAAGCAACCGACAAAACTCTTGRGATTTCGTTATAAGCTCCAAATGTGTCAAACACTGACCACCATGTATGTGCTGTCAACCAGAAAGAATTCTATTGAACACTTGTGATTCAGCTGACCGAATTCGAACACTCCGCATGAGACACGGAAATGACATATATAAATTTAAACCCAGCAATTTTATATATTCCAAAAATTTAGGTTGAAAGAAGTCTATATAGAACAAACTCTTGATTTACCTTGAGAACAGCTTTAACAGAGCTTTTATCMGTGCCTACTTTAGCTTTCTTCATGGCCGATAAATTCTCTCCTACCCAGGCCACCAGGACGAACTTGGCTCGTTTGCTCAACTCATCTCCAGATTCGATTCTAACAAAACCATACAACCTCTCGTCATCTGTTAAAAACAAAGGAACACTCGCAGTTATGGACCGCTTCGTGTCAAAATGTTTTGTCCAATGGGGATTGAGGTGATACTCAAAGTAAGTCGACCAAAGTCCCCCCACCCCTCCTCAAAACACTCAAAAAAATTTTTCCACTACTTTCACTTTCCTTTTCTGTTTTTCTTATTTTGTTTCTCTTTTTTTTTTTTTTTTTTTTTTTTTTTTTTTTTTGTTCACTATACCCTTTCATAGTTTCTTTTCTCTCCCCTTATTTTTGATGTCTCTTTTCTTAATTCCTTAAATTTTAATCTTGTTTCCTTTTCTTTTAACCATTTATCCTCTCCCTCTTTCCTTCTGCGTTTCAATTTTTTCAAATACTTTCCATTTCATTTCTTCTACCCTCCCTATGATATTCATTTTTTTTTTCCTTCACTTTTTAAGCATACCTTTTAACTCTTCYAAGAATTCGTCATAGTTTACTCCAGACTTCAAGTGTACTACCTGGTTRCTGTCATCATAACCAAACGTTGCCCTTTTTCAAACAAACATTAATTTATTAATCACTATGCACCATATATCCTGGGGGCCATCTAGCACCCTAAAAGTGGTGGAGGGGGGGAGTCCAATGTTGAGCCAAAAGGCAGGGTTGAGGAATAGAAGGTGAATGGTTAACAAGGAGAGGACTGCTCCTGGAACAGGAGAAATGGGGTAGGTCGTGGGGGAACGGGAGGGGGGGGGGGTACAAGAAAATATAATAATTGTTAGTGAATCAGTCATTTATTATAGCACTTTTTACTTAAAGCTCAAAAGCGCTTTACATTTAAACTAATACTACTAATAATCATTATAAAGAAGAAAAAACCTAGTAATGTCCAAACTCAGTCATAAAATCTAAAATTCAGTAGAAAAAAGTTTTTAAATATTAGATGCCCTTATTTCTTATATTAGAGGTAGCAATTGTCTCTGACTCTGACTCCCCTCCCCTTCCCTCGCCTTCTTAATGCAGTCTATCGCAAACTTCATATAATTGCACCATATCAGCTGTTAAAATTCCTCCTTGAGACCGGAAATACAATATAATATAAACGTCCATTTATTCTGCCAAATCTTACATGATACCGGAAGTACGAACTACGGATCAGCCCTCCCCCTGCTAGTCTCCCACACAGCCGCTTTCAGTGTCGTCACGCAACGCTTTCTCCCCTGAGTAGCTACTTAGGGGAGAAAGCGTTGCGTGACGACACTGAAAGCGGCTGTGTGGGAGACTATCCCCCCGCAGACATACACAAATATCTTCACTGACAAAGCCCGTTATCCGATAGGAAAACTATGGATGATAGAACATAATACAAAGACTTCAAATAAGCAGGAAATAAGGGCATTCTCTTGTGGGATTCACGCCTCGACTCGTTCAGAAAGGTTGTGTTTGGGTCATCAATAAATGAAAGGCGATTCGTTTCCGCTTAGTCTCAACCCACGAAAAAATCTCTTATACAGAATTTTGAACAGTTCTGAATCTAGAGCGATAGATTTAGTGCAATTTAAAGCAATAAATTCATTATACTTTTAGAGCTCTTATACTTAACCTTGTTTAAACAATCTAATCAAATATTAGCCCAAGTGTCAGCAAGAGGTTAAGAAGCTCTAATGAATATCTAACTAAACTCTTTGGAAAGTTATGAGATTGTTAGAATATATTAGCTAGAATAAGAATAAKAATAAACACTAGAAAAGCCAAACGTAATCTAAATACTACAAGTCTGAACAAGAAATAAGTAAAGAGTGGGGTACAGATAAGTTAAAGAGCGGTGAACTTGTGTTGTTTCCGATAGCAAATCGTACAAGCCGGGTGTCGAAATGAACCCAATAAGCTTCCAGAAATAAAACACTTCTATCTTACCATGTTTCGTCGCTTTTGTCGTCCCGTACGTTCTCATAAGCAGCATTCAAGCCTTCTTTATCAACAGCAACCATTTTTGAACAAGGAAGACAAGAGATGTAAGATGTGGATCAAAGGAGTGGAGATGATGCTGTGCAATGCAATGTGAAGGGGGCGTTTCAAGAATCGAGAGAGCGGATTACCGGCCGGTTCTATGACGTTATTTATTTGGTTAATGATAAACTAGAAACGGTATAARATATTAAATTAATTTTGCGATAATTTTCTTTTTAAGAGCTTTATCATATTTCTTTGACACTCATTTGKACACAACTGTATGAAGTATCTTTCTTTCTTCCTCAATTTTAAATTTGATCGAAATTTCTCTTACATTATTGTAACTTTGTAAAAGCGAAAAGCCTGCGGCTTATTAGTCTCCCTCACAGCCGMTTTCAGTGTCGTCACGCAACGCTTTCTCCCCTGAGTAGCGCTATTCGGAGTCGCACAGGACTTTTACACTATCATATGGAAACAAGGTAGGCCATTTTTAATAATTATAATAAAACAATGGAGATCCAAGAGGCTAAAATTTGTCCGGAACAGGCTACAAAATCCATAGGCTCCGGTAATACACTGCGTAGCGGCCCTTAACACAGGCAACCCAAACGAGTTTCCTSTGTATGGTTTATACGRGAATGTATGGGAGATATGATAAAGTTACGACAATAAAATGTTTCACTCAACAATTTACCTCAAAACTTGCTGCAGTTGTTGCTTTTACTTTGTTCAGTCTTCTGGCGACGTTTCAGCGCGATTTGAGGCCGTTTAGTGGGTTTGATTGTTGAGTGAAACAGTTTATTGTCATACTTTATCATAACTCCCATACATTCCCTTATAAACCACACAAAGGGAACCTTGTTTGGGCTGCCTGTACCCTCAATTAAGGGGACTGGATTACGCAGGCTAAGTATACATTCATAAAAATAAAAGGTGGAATCACTCAACGATAATGAGAAAGTCATCACCAGTTAGCAACCACTAGTGAGGGGGGACATAAAAATAAATAGTGTCTCTTGTGGGGTGGGTGGGGGAGGGGTAATCAGTTACAACAACAACCCTCCGTTCCTAAAATAGAAAATTACAATTAAAAAGATCACAGTTTCTTTTTCAGCAGTAGAATAAATATTGACATATCAAAGTGACATAAACCAAGTAGAACCGTAGAACCCTGTTTACAAATCTTCCTTATATTTCAACAATTCAACATAATATTATTTTCCTGTTCCATAGTGAGCTCCTCCGGCTTTTTGAACCTGGCACTTCACCTTGTCATAAAGAAGTTCATTCTTATCACTGCATAAAATTTCCACGGCAAAATTCTGAAAGAAAATGAAATCATTATGAGTCGACATGGCCTTGGATGTTAGCCGGGTAGGGGTGGGGTAGGGATTGTTGCGACATACATAAAAATTAGTGATCCCCATTGGCTTCCCCCTCACTAGTGGTTGCTACTCTCTTTGTTTCAGAGTTTGAAATAAGCTGTGCCCTGATTTAGATCAGCTCAGAGGTGTTCAGGTTTTCGGGCTCGATCTGTGAGTTAGTCGTGCCCTGACTTTGATCAGCCCGCAAAGGTTGTTTCAGGGTTCGATCTGTGAGTTAGCCATGCCCTGATTTAAATCAGAGGTACGTTGCCATTGCAGAGGTTATTTCAGGCGATTTGATGAAATAGACCAGTTTCGAGTTCCAAATTACCGCTGTGTTCCTTGATTACAGACTCATTAGCACTGGGTTAGCCTCGTATCAGTGTTTAAATATTCACAAATACCAACGGTAAAGTAAAGAATGCACAACTTCAACAATACGAACGATTTGAAACTTGACGGACCTTGACTGGAACACGTGAATATTCTGCACAAACTCGAGGCTAACCCTGTGCAAATGAGTCTGTAATCAAGAAACACAGCGGTAATTTGGAATTCGAAACGGGTCTATTGACGGTTGAYTTTTGTTCGGGCTGCGAGCAAGATTATCAGCACACAATCATAACTGTCAGGAGCCTGTGTAGCTCGGCCCTAGGGAGGGGGGAGAGGGAGGGGAAATGGGGTGGGAGAGGGGGAGGGGAGTGGGGAGAGAGGAAAGGGAAAAGACAGGCTCTCGCTTCTGATCCTCTCCCCCTCCTCTCCCCTCCCCTCYCCCCTGACCATCTGTACTGCAGTTACTGAGCATAAAACAGCCTGTAATCATTATTGTCTAAGTTACCGTGATGACCATCTTAACGTTGCCCTTGTCAGTGCTGACTTTAGCTTTCTTCAGCGGTGACACATTTTCTCCGATCCACGTTATAAACACAAACTTGGCTCTCTTGCTTAACTCGTCACCAGTCTCCACTCTTACGAAAGCATACAGTCGCCTGTCGTCTTAGAAAACAAGACAAAATGAAAAATAACTAAGGGCAGTCACCAAACGGGTTTTTTTTCCATCTGAAGACRTAACGCCCGATGTGAGGAACACTGTCATTAGGGTTCTCGATTGGTTCTCGAGAACAAAGGAAGATACCGGAAGTAAAAATTACAATACTAGAGAAAATAAACAAGATGGCGTCTCGAATTAAGTACACCAAAAAAGCCTGTAGGGCCGGATTTTTCAAAGTTTTGCCGGTTTTGTAATGGAAATTGTATTGATGTCCATCCAATAGATATTTTTGGAGTTAATTTAACTGAAAACCATCTTCAAAACCTAATTTTCCAAACGCAAATTCACATGCTCGTTGAACATCGTCAGCCATTTTGAATTTACCTAGTCTGTCATAATGCGCATGTGCGAGAAACCCAGAATCTGGGTCTTCCGGTTTGGAGTTTTCCAGAGCCCAATTATTTCGTCGAGCATGCGCAGTAAGAAATAAG